AGACACAGGCTTGAAACTACCCCACTCTTGTTCCCCAGGTTCCTCTGAGATCACAAGGAGGGAGGCCAGGGCAACAAGGAACTCCACTGAGCCAAATGCTGGAAGCTTCAGAAGTCAGATGTCTCCTTCCGTTTTATTGAAAATCCCCCTGTCGGAACTCATTTAAGCATTTATACTTTTAAGAAAATAGATTGTTTGTTGTACAAATTTGCATATCTGTTACTTCTCTCAAAAAGCCAAAGTATCTTCTGCTGAGCAAAAAATTCTCTGCCTTTTCTTTTAATATCGCTACATGTCTGAAAACTCCACATGTGGGTAATAATCTCTCCAGGCCAGTAGGTTGCAGAACTATAGCAATGAAAGCACATCTGACATCCTCTTGGAAATGTATAGCATGGAAACCAGCAGATATTGCAGCACTGTTTCATAAGATGACCTGTTAAAAACTACTCACATATTTCCCTGCTCTTCAGTAATTCCACCAGTTCCACTACTCTGTGCATAATTAATGGAAGTGTACCAAGCCAGTTAGGTAAATGTTGATATCTATGCCTCAAATACTACCTGCCATTCTATAAAGAATTATTAAAAAAAATGCATAGGAAATGTCAAACAAATGCTGCAGAGCACAGAAATAGCCTATCAAGCCTAGGTGTTATGGGAATGTTGCCATGTACATGGCAAGCAACAAAAAAGCGTTCAGCAGGGTTGGATTTTATTAGTCTAGGCTTAGTGCAATATTAACATTATTTTGTGAGGGGAAGGGGGGGCTTGTTATATGACAATGAGCTTAGTTTGTAGGTTCCAACATAAACATATTCTACATCAAAAACCCACTGTATATTCCTGAATACTGAAGGAATGCACAAGACTGCCATAGGACTGCTTCTCATTTGCAGCATGAATTTCAAACTACAATGGTTAGCTGGGTGTGACAAATCATGCTAATTATCCAAAACAGGCAGATCATGTGTTCCCACTACAGCATCCCAACAGTGGGAACAATCCCACCTAGAAGGTGCAAGAGGAGTATTTGTCTACAATGCTGGATACAATCCATGTGAGTCATGCCTTCCCCTAAGTACTGACGTTCCTACAAGTGTTCTTTATTTGTTGCAGAGCGAAAGCGATCATTTGCACATGGCTATGCGGCATACATATGTTGCATATCAGGAAAAAACAGAGCCAAACCTATTTAGAAGTGAACTGCCAGAGACATGCTGTCATTAGACAAATCCCAAACTGCATGTCACAGAGAAACTAAAAGTCCAAGACACTGCTACACTGCTACAGCTCAAGATTTTCTGTGACAGCAGGGTATTTGTTAGGTGTGATTTATACTGGAGAGATAATAATTGCTGGGTAAATACAAAAAGAAATGGATGAGCAGTGGGGCAAATAAACATGGTCACATTTCAGGAAATTCTGAATGGATATTTGCATCAATTACACTGAGGTATGTTTTTCTCATCTGTATGTTTGATGAAAATGACGCTTTATTCCTAACAGGCTACTGAGACTATGCAATGACAGCAAATATATTAGAGAATAATAAATGCTGAGGCTGCTACTTTACTTTTTCAATGGGCAATTTTGAGGCTTTGTGTAAACTTGATTTTCTTTAAACAATTTTCTGAGATGGTCATTCACAGTAATACCTACACCTATTTGCTGAGTTGTGCTATGCATAACATATAAGAGACATAAGCATCAGCATGTCAGCTAATTCTTTGCAGAATAATAAATCAGCATACCTGTCTTCAAGCTGAAAATTAATAAGTGCATATAATTCTTCATAAGTATATCTGGTGATTTGAAGCACAATGAAGCACAGACAGTTGAGGATGCAGGAGACATTTTTTTACTAAAATGAAAACGCAGTATTTCATGCTTAGGCTTAAAAGAAGTATAGCTTAATGAAATAAAGCTTATGATTCAAGTCACCCTTTTACTTCAAAACTAATTTATTGTACATTTCACACATACTGCAAGTGATGAACAATGGCCTTGGACAATTACTTTCCTTACAAAGTGTGGGAATCAAAGGATCTGGTTTAGATGTGTGGTCACAGATATGACCATGCTGATGAATTGCAACCTAAGAATCAATGATGTGCCTTCTTTGATAGCTGTACTGTTCATAAACTCTTTTCCATGACAATCTCAATGGGAAAGAAAGTACTCAATAACAGGATTTTTGGTGCACGGACTTAAATCAAAAGAAAATGTGGCTGTGTGCAAGTATAGTTGCTAACAAGGAGAAGAGAACTGCACTGGTCACTTACCAATTATTTTGATATATAGGCATGACAGGCTTTGTTCACCAAAGATAGTATTAGTCCTGGCAGTCCATCAGAATCCAACTCGATTTGCAGATCCTAAAAAGGGTCTTCAAAAATTTGTTGGGGGTTAAGGGGCAGTTTCTCTCCAACTTATAGTTCAGTCTAACCCTACATGGTATCTTGAAGGACAATTTTGTTTATCATTTTCCAAAACTAACTCACATTTTCCCCATCATATTCCCGGTAAGCTGGGGCAACGAATACTGCTCTTTACAGCAATAGGCACAAACACCATCCCACTCAAATGTTCATACAGGCTTGATCTTTCAAGGTGCCATGTAATCGCCCTTCAATGAGAGCGAGCAGAGGTCACTTAAGGACAGGAAGCCTGACAGAGATTTCCTTTATCCAGTATCAGAGGTTTAAGTGATCAACGCTCTGTAACAACACAGACTCTGAAAGGTTCAGTCTTCACTTTCCAATGTTTTAGGAAGGCCTCAGCACTTTGTAGGAGTAGACACATACTTGGCAGCAAATACCATAACAACTAGTAAGCATTGCCAAAGGCAAGCTGGTAATACATCTCATATGATCAAGGCTCTGTGTCTGTGTTAACGCACTCACTTGTGCACTCCTATGTAGCAGATCATTTTGCAGCTTCCAACTGATTTAAGAAGATTCTCGCTTTGAATAACTAAGCCATGCATAGCTTTAATTCCAATTTGTGCAGGTTTAAGAAGAAGATTCATATATAATTATTTAACTTCACAAATTTTTCTGGTTTTCAACACTGTCTAAAAAAGCAATGGTTCATTAGGAAAGGCTTGCCGTTTGAGGAGCTGGCTGCCTACCTCAGCCGCCTTCTCTGATTCCCATGCTACAACCTTCGGCTGCTATTACCAGCCTCTGACTCTCCAGCCTCTTCTAGACATAAACATTTTCCATAACTGGATTCCTTGTTTGAAAAAACTGGAGCCCAGGCCATAGAAGGCTGAGCCCATGAAGAGTGTTCTCACAGAGGGAAATTTAAATACACCAGCTCTTATTTGGCCACGTGTTCCCCTCTCTCTCCTGCCACTATCTCTAGCTGAGCACAGTGGGCTCCACTACAGAGCTAATTTCCTCCCCTTCTGGGACTCAAGGCATATAAGCCTTAGTGATACAGGATTCACCTCCCTGAGTTTAATACTGAAGCAAGAATTAATCTTAAGACTGTAAGTCACAACATTGGAAGAAACCCCATGCAATTTGGAGGCAAAACGTTCTTTTGAATCTTTAGGGAGATTTGGGAGAAGCCAACCCGCTTCCTAACTGCCTCTATTTCCATTATTCTGCTGGAAAGCTGCCAGACAGATCTACCCTGGTTAAGGCTGTTGCCTGTCGCAAGCACTGTTCATTTAAGCTGAATAGAAAGTAGTTAAATTAAATGGTCTTCTGGTTAGTGGTAGCTGAAATGAGAGAACAGAAAGGCTGGGCAAGCATGGTGGCAGAGCTGGATGATCAGTTTGTATGTGACCACTTGAACGAAGCTGTGTCACTCACCACAGCAGTCAGGCAATACCACTGACGCTATTAGACAATAGGACTTGAAACTCTAAGGCTGACTGATATTATGTGACTGAGGATTCAGTAATGCAGTTCAGTGTCTTCCATGTCCTAACTGCAACTAACAAATAGTTCAAACACGCATTTCTCCTACAAAATCAAGCAACATTGTTATCTTCAGCATCATCTCTGAAAAATAGTAACTATGCAGCTGTGGCCTCTCTAGCTATTTTTATTTACAGATTTATAGTTGTAAAGTGAGATTAATGTCTAAATTTTTAATATAATTTAGGGCTTGTTAGCTAACACATACTAAATACAGGCCAACTGCCATTCTTTGCTGTTAAATCTAAGTTTGTTTCAAATGCAAACAGGCCACCTGGTAGCTGCTGGATATCGCAAGAAATTTCCATTTTACTGCCAAAGCCCCAAACCTCTGTATACTGTGGCTGTGCTGCTCGCCCCATGGGCCACAGCCAGCTACCCAGAGCCGCAGCAGCCCTGCACAGCCGCCTGCTGTACTGCACCCCTCCGCTCCCCCCGGCCACCCTGGGTTCCCCAAAATTTCCTGGACATCGCTGCCTCCACTTGTTTCTCAGAGGCTAATCTCTATTCTTCATTTGTGTCTGGATAATTTTTTATCTGATTTTAAAGACACGGGCTGCTGTTTCCTTTTTTTAATGGATAAATTACAATTTCTGACTGGTGGCAATGGATATATTGCATTCTGGATTTTGGACTCTTCTGTAGAAAAAGTCATTTGTTCTCATTTCCCTCTCAGTGACCGCACTGTCCTCTCCTTTCTGAACGTACCCTGGGTTCTGTCCATGAGAATTTATGAATGACTTAATACTACAACTGCTCCTGTTTCCAATTTATAATTCCAACGTGCAGTGATTGCAGCTCTATTTGGTAAACCTGCCTCCGAGCAGCAGTAACAAGTAGGGTAGTTTAAAAAGCACCAGAAGAATGTTTTTGTTCTTCACTTACTCCTGAGTGTTTTGGGGATTTTATTTAACACCTCTAGAATTTTGATTTTTTTATTTTATCCCTCAGCATGGATATACGAGTGTAAATGACACTCGTGGGTAGCACTGTCGTATTCTGATTTTCCACAGCGGTACTGACGGGAGGGGCTCCCGGGTCGGTTTGTGGTGGCACCAGCGTTATTACCGGGGCTGGGAAGCGCCGGTACTCTCCGCCCTGCCTGCCCCCGGGGGCGCCGTGTGCCCGGTGTATGCCGCCCGGACAAAACAGCGGCCTCTTGGCGGCACCGGCGCCCTTCCGCTGGGGTGGGGTTTGGGGGCAACGGCGATTTGGTGAGCAGATGACCCGCATCGCGCCGGTACGCCCACAGCGCGCCCCACGCCCGCGGCCCGCGCTGAGC